TATTTTATTAATACGTGTTTTAATAACGGTTATTAAAATCATTTTAGAACTTAAGAATTATTGCAGTATGTTATTATAATTTTAAATTATTAAAGTGAGTGCTTTCAATTTGTTTCAAACTTTAAACTTTGGAAAGCTGATACATTAGTTTTCTTTCTCTGAACTGCACTCCATGGTGAACTTTTGAAAAGGATATAATTGGTGGCTCAGACAGTAGAGAATCTGCCTGCACTGCCGTAGACCCAGGTTTGATCCCTGGGTCGGGAAGATCCCCTGGAGAAGGGAATGGCTACCCATTCTAGTATTCTTGCCTGGTGAATTCCATGGAGGGGACAGCCTCATGGACTGCAGTCCCTTGAGTCACAAAGAATCGGACATGACAGAGCGACTAACACTTTCTTTTAGACCTTTAATGAACTCTTTCACAGGTTAAAAAAAATACTACTATTCAAAGCAAGTGCAGGCCATCATTTACTCCTGAAATCAATGAAAGGATATATATTATTATTTAAAAGTAATCTGAAATTATATTTTGCATTGCTTTTAAATTGCAAAATGAGGAAAGTGTTTTTGGCTCTCTCTCCTGTTTATGAGATAGAGGAAAGGAATTGATTTTTTAAATATGTTTTAAAGTCGCTTTAATGTTTTATCACAAAAAACACACTTAAATATATGCTGTTTAATGGAGAAAAATTGGAAATATAGTGAAAAGAAAAAATGCTGTCTTTCCCTAAGAATTACACCATTTTTCATTCCCACCATAACTTTAGGAAAACACCTCTTTTTCTATAGCCAAACAGTATATATTTTTCTTCTTTGTCCACTTTTCTTTAAAAAACAACTGTAAAAATTGTGGCAGTTCTAGGTACAGTTTAAGCCGTAGCTTCAAAACATTATTTCATTCAAATCTGACGCTTGCTGTGTGTTAAGCTCTTTGTTAGGCACTGAGGAGTCATTGTGGAACTAAGTACGGTGTTTTATAGGTTACAGTTCAGTGGAAGAGATGTAAGAAGAAACTTAAACCTGTGCCAGACACTGTGAAGGAAACAAAGATACTGTGCGACCGGTAGTAGAGGTCTGCCTTAACCTGGGCAATCAGGAAGCTTTTGGGGCAGCCTTTTTAAGTGCTGTAGAGCTAGCTGGGTTTTTCTGAGATTCAGATTTTATTATTTTTATCATTGTTAATGCTTTATTAGAACTATTTACCCAACTGAGCTAATTAGATACATATAAACAAACTCTAGTATAGTCAAAATATCAGTTAAGATTGGATGGAGGAAGAGCAAAGAGGGAGATATTTTCCAAATTCCTTAGGCTTAGGTAGAACTAATTTTTCTTTGAAAATTACTATTTTAATCTTGTAAAAATTGAGCATAAATATAACATCTTGTTATGTTTATGATCTTATTCAGTTTTTTAGTTTTTTAGAGATTTATTTTATTTAAAATTGTTTAGATAGGAGTGATATTTTATCAGTTCTGTGCAATCTTTGTTACATGAAGTACAGATGAGAAAGCTAACACTAATACAGAATTTAAAACAGATACTATAAACTTGGTGGTAATGATGTGTTCAAATGAAATATCTTGATAAGCTAGTGACAAATAGTTGGCACTCTGAAATGGAGTGCATAAAAAGTATGTTTATATATGAAAGCATATCTTAATCTACTTCACGGTATGTACAAAGAATACAGTAGTTTAATATAACTCCATAGTGAAGATTTTTGTCTTTAACTATGATTGTATTAGAACTAGAGATGTTTTCCTCTGTGAAGACTAACGTTAACATGCTTCAAACGTGGTTTGGTTAATAATAATAATAAATCTTCAAATATGGTTTGTTATAATAGGACTAAATGTGTTGAAAGATATTTAATTACTTTTTAATAACTTAATTTTTAATAAATTAATAAATTTTAAGTCCTTAATTTACTTTTTAATAACTTCCTTTCAGCTGACAGTTACGTTTCTTCAATTTATGTTTTTAATTGGAGGATGATTGCTTTACAATATTGTGATGGTTTCTGCCATACATCAGCATGAATCAGCCATAGGTATACATATGTTCCCTCCCTCTTAAACCTTCCTCCCGCCTCCCACCACATCCTACCCCTCTGGGTTGTCAGAGAGCACCCAATTGAGCTCCCTGCATCATACAGCAAATTGCCAGTGGCTATCTGTTTACATGTGCTAATATGTATGTTTCCATGCTACTCTCTCAATTCATCCACCCCCTCCTTTCTCCACTGTGTCACAAGTCTGTTCTCTATTGTCTTTATTGGTGTTCTGTTGCTAAGTCCTGTCCCAACTCCTTGCAACTCCATAAACTGCAGCACCCCAGGCTTCGCTGTCCTTCCCTATCTCCCAGAGTTTGCTCAAACTCATGTCCATTGAATCAATGATGCCATCCGACCATCTCATCCTATGCCACTGCCTTCTCTTGCCGTTGTTCTTTCCCAGCATGAGAGTCTTTTCCAGTTTGTCAGCTCTTCACATCAGGTGACCAAAGATTGGAGCTTCAGCTTCAGCACCAGTCCTTCCAATGAATTTTCAGGGTTGATTTCCTTTAGGATTGACTGGTTTGATCTCCTTACTGTCCAAAGGACTCTCATGAGTTGTCTTCAGTACCACAATTTGAAAGCATCAATTTTTTCCACACTCAGGCTTCTTGTGGTCCAATTCTCACATCCCTACATGACTACTGAAAAAACCATAGCTTTAACTATATGGACTTTTGTCAGCAAAACTGGTGCCTCTGCTTTTTAATATGCTGTCTAGGTTTGTCATAGCTTTCCTTCCAAGGAACAAGCGTCTTTTAATTTCATGGCTACAGTCACCGTCCTCAGTGATTTTGGAGCCCAAGGAAATAAAATCTGTCACTGCTTCCACTTTATCTATTTGCCATGAAGTGACAGGACCAGATGCCATGATCTTAGTTTTTTGAATTTTGAGTTTTAAGCCAGCTTTTCACTCTCCTCTTTCACCTTCATCAAGAAACTCTTTAGTTCCTTTTCGCTTTCTGCCGTTAGAATGGTATCATTTGCAAAGCTGAGGTTGTAGATATTTCTCCCAGCAATCTTGATTCCAGCTTGTGAGTCACCCAGCCCAGCATTTAGCATGATGTACTCTGCATATAAGTTAAATAAGCAGGGTGATGATATACAGCCTTGACATACTCCTTTCCCAGTTTGGAACCAGTCTGTTGTTCCATGTCAGGTTCTAACTGTTCCTTCTTGTCCTGAATACAGGTTTCTCAGGAGGCAGGTCAGGTATTCCTATGTCTTGAAGAATTTTTCACAGTTTGTTGTGATCCACACAGTCAAAGGCTTTTGCATAGTTGGTGAAGCAGAGAAGATCTTTTTTTTGGGAATCCCTTTGCTTTTTCTCTGATTCAGCGGATGTTGGCAATTTGATCTCTGGTTCCTCTACCTTTTCTAAATCTAGCTTGTACATCTGAAAGTTCTTGTTTCATATACTGTTGTAAGCCTAGCTTGAAGGATTTTGAGCATTACCTTGCTCTCATTTGAAATGAGTAAAATTGTACTGTAGTTTGAGCATTCGTTGGCACTGCCTTTCTCTGGGATTGGAATGAAGACTGACCTTTTCCAGTCCTGTGGCCACTGCTGAGTTTCCGCAGTTGCTGGCATATTGAGTGCAGCACTTCAACAGCATCATCTTTTAGGACTTTAAATACCTAAGCTGGAATTCTATCACCTCCACTAGCTTTATTTGTAGTAATGCATCCAGTGAGTCTCTATCTCTGCCCTACAAATTGCTGCCCTACAAATGTTACATCAGTAATGTTTTTCTAGTCTAAATTCCATATATATGTGTTAATATGCAATATTTGTTTTTTTCTTTCTGACTTCACGCTGTACAACAGGTTCTAGGTTCATCTACCTCACTAGAACTAACTCAGATTCATTCTTTTATATGACTGAGTAATAGTCCATTGTTTACATGTACCACAACTTCTTTATCCATTCCTATGTCGTTGGACATCTAGGTTGGTTTCATGTCCTGGCTATTGTAAATAGTGCTACTGTGAACACTGGGGTGCATGTGTCTTTTAGAATCATGGTTTTCTCTGGGTATATGCCCAATAGTGGGATTTCTGGGTTATATGGTAGTTTTATTCCAAGTTTTTAATGATGACTCCACGCCCTACATGTGACTCAGCAGTAGTGCCCTGCCTCCATGGCTTCCAAGCTTTCCTTCAGAAGCATTCCCTGCGGGCATATCTTCTCTCCTGTCTCCTCCAGCTGTCTCTCTGAAGTCAAAAGCAGTCCTCGCCCTGGGATTGCTCTCCAGTCCCTACACTCCAGCTCCCAGTCACCACGCGTTCTGTTGGACTTGCATTCCTGTCCGGGGTATGTAGGGCCACGTCCCAGATTGTCTGTGTAGGTCTCACTCTATTCAGACTGTCATCATATCAGCTGCTTCACTCTCCAGCAGTTTTGAATGCTTCCCCTCGGTCCCAACTGATTGCCCCACATATGGGGATCTCACCCCTGCTTCAGCTTCCCCACCTGCTGGGTGCACGTCTGACCCTGCTCACTCTCCTTTTCTCCTTCCTTCCTTCATCCTACTGAGTTTTGTGAGGCTCTATATATTCCTTTCCGGTGGTCAGGGACTCCTGCCACCCTCAGCTCGTGCTCCACATGATCTTTTGCATCTGATCTTCTATGTTCCTGATGCAGCCATGGAGAGAGATGTACTCCATGTCCACCTGCTTCTCTGCCATCTTGTCTCCTTCCTTCCTTAGGTTTTGAACTGACTTCCAGTTACTGTAGTGCTTCATACCGATCAGTTTGTAAACCTAGTAGGGAAGGAAGTACATTGATGCTTGGTTATATTTTAGAGCAGAGAATCCTAGGTTGCAAGCTATATTCCTGGTGAATCTGTAAGTATCTGCTCCCTCAGCTCTATTTAGCTGTCCTTAATTTACTCTGGAAAGGAAAATAATTTAATAGACTTTTGCATCATCTTTTTTTCCAGATACTGGCCAAAAGAAGACCCTAGACAAAAAAGATGGGAGAAGAATGTCTTTTCAGAAACCCAAAGGGACTATTGAATATACTGTAAGTTATTTGTTTTGGAAAAAGTTGATTTCTGTTTGTCTTATTGGAGGTATTCTTTGTTTGTTTGTTTTTCATTACTGGTCCAATAGAGCTTTATTTATTTATTTTTTCTTTTTTTTTCCATTTATTTTTATTAGTTGGAGGCTAATTACTTTACAATATTGTAGTGGTTTTTGTCATACATTGACATGAATCAGCCATGGATTTACATGTATTCCCCATCCCGGTCCCCCCTCCCACCTCCCTCTCCACCTGATCCCTCTGGGTCTTCCCAGTGCATCAGGCCCGAGCACTTGTCTCATGCATCCAACCTGGGCTGGTGATCTGTTTCACCCTAGTTAATATATATGTTTCGATGCTGTTCTCTCGAAACATCCCACCCTCGCCTTCTCCCACAGAGTCCAGAAGTCTGTTCTGTACATCTGTGTCTCTTTTTCTGTTTTGCATATAGGGTTATCATTACCATCTTTCTAAATTCCATATGTATGTGTTAGTATGCTGTATTGGTCTTTATCTTTCTGGCTTACTTCACTTTGTATAACGGGCTCCAGTTTCATCCACCTCATTAGAACTGATTCAAATGAGTTCTTTTTAATAGCTGAGTAATATTCCATGGTGTATATGTACCACAGCTTCCTCATCCATTCGTCTACTGATGGGCATCTAGGTTGCTTCCATGTCCTGGCAATTATAAACAGTGCTGTGATGAACATTGGGGTGCACGTGTCTCTTTCAGATCTGGTTTCCTCGGTGTGTATGCCCAGAAGTGGGATTGCTGGGTCATATGGCAGTTCTATTTCCAGCTTTTTAAGATATCCACACTGTTCCCCATAGCAGCTGTACTAGTTTGCATTCCCACCAACAGTGTAAGAGGGTTCCCTTTTCTCCACACCCTCTCCAGCATTTATTGCTTGTAGACTTTTGGATAGCAGCCATCCTGACTGGCGTATAATGGTACCTCATTGTGGTTTTGATTTGCATTTCTCTGATAATGAGTGATGTTGAGCATCTTTTCATGTGTTTGTTAGCCATCTGTATGTCTTCCTTGGAGAAATGTCTGTTTAGTTCTTTGGCCCATTTTTTTATTGGGTCATTTATTTTTCTGGAATTAAGGGTTCCTAATTGCCTTATTTTTAAAAATCTGTACTTCACTGTCAATAACTTTTACTAACAATGATACTTCAGTTTTTAATTGTATTTAGAATTTTTTTTCTTAAAGACAAATTTTAATAAGTGTGATATGAAGGTAATTATTCTAGAAAGTTTAATAAAGTAATAGTTTACTGGGAGTTAAAGTTTCTGTGCTACAATAATTTTTATTAGATTGAGCTTTTAGGGAAGCAGTTACTTTTTTAAAAATGTGATCTTCATTGTATTCCCAGCAATGATAATGAGAATGACAGAATATGGAAAAAGCAAATTGATATTAATTATCTAGAATAACCTCTCTTATTTGATTATTTGCACTGATATATAGCTTGTTGGTCCTTTAATGGACCGGAACCTGGTGGTTCCGAGAGTGAGAGAGAGAAAGAGGCTGATATCCCCTGGTTTACATGGAAAGCCAGTAGAGCCCTGTTCTTAGGGCTCGCGATGCTGCACATAGGCACCAGGTGCCCTCTCGAGTGGGTCTTAGAAGCCCGGGCAAGAAAGTGAGCTCAGCGGGCCTCGGCGCTCCGAGGAATTAGCCAGAAATAGAGAAAGAGAGAAGGAATAGAAAGAAAGAAAGAAAGAGACACGGGGACCAAAGCTCTGATGGAGCAAAGGTGTTTTAATCAACATGGCGTGGTCATATATACTGTAGTAATTCTCAGCAAAGGTAAAGATTAAAATTCCAGACTTAACAAAACATAAGATGATCCCTATCAAAGAGAGAGTTGCAAACAATCATCTTTTACCATTTGGCTCATAATAAGGAAGAGGGTACTTATCACTGTAATGAGAAATGCCTGGATTCCTCAGCCCCGGGAAAGGCGTGCCTCTCCCCTTAATTCCTGAATATTCAGGGATCAATAAGGGCCAGAGGGTTCCTGGCAGATCCAAAACAGCACACGGGAGGCCTTGTGTTAAATGCTTCCTGACAATACCTGAGTTTCTCTGTTCTAGAAATGACTCTCAAAAATGTCCTTAGTCAGCTTTTCATATTTCTGGTTACTATGGAGAACTAAAGTGAGAAATCTAATCTGTGGTATGCTGCTTATTTGATTAAATGTAAATGTTGTTAGATAATGTTAACATGTTATAAAGCAGTTATTTTAACTATTTAGTTTGTCTAATGTGTTGTTATAGCTCTATTAAAAGAAAATAGCTTATACATTTGTATCATCACAAAGCCTTCCAATCTTGGCTTGAGTCTTGATTATTTTTTTATGAATTCTAAAAATTGAACAAAGTATCAAAACCTTGAGTTACACTTTATTTTCATAAACTGTGCAACTGACAGTTTGAAATTGTAAGTATTTTTAAAAGGTTTAAAATGAGATAATTTAGGGTAGAAATGTATTTACTACTATCAAAAGAATCTTCTCTCAAACATATATAAACTTGAATGTGCTCATACCTTCTCTGCCTGATTGAGAAACTAAAAATATAAATTCAGACAGTAAACTCTTAAGTAGTGTAATTTGATATTTCATTAAGGCATAAGACTGTAGGCATAGGGCATTTGATTGTCTACATGTGTAATCACGCGGTTGTGAAGAATTATGAAATTTCAGTTGGTTTCGAATTCAAGAGCTTACCGATTTTTTTTCTCGTAATTCAGTAAAACTTGTGTTATTGGTTGCAAATTGAAATTTAAATTAAGAACTATTATTTTGGAGAAAAGGTTAATTGAAATTTGCAGTTACAATTCACCCTTTTTATCCTTGGGTTCTGCATCCACAGATTCAACCAAGCATGGATCGAAATATTTTGGGGAATAAAATTCCAGAAAGTTCCAAAAAGCAAAACTTGAATTTCCCTTACTGGCCACTGTTTACTTACACTGTATTAGTATTATGAGTAACCTAGAGATGATTTAATGTATATAAAGGACATGTGTAGGCTATATGCAAATACTGTGCCATTTTATGTAAGGGATTTGAGCACCTGTGGATTTTTATATCTGTGGGACTGCTGGAACAGATCTCCCAGGATACTGTATCTTACACATGTTTTGCTGGTTGTTCTGTTCTTGTTGATTCCAAATGTGAGTGGTCCCTTGTATCTTTTCACTTTTTCATTTCCATTCTATTAATCGAAAATCTTAAGAACTTTACTATCTGAAGTGAAACCCAAACTTTTCTACCTTTCTAGATGCTTGCATTTCTTACTACTAACTTCATATTTAATAAACTATAGAAAACCTTTTACCAATTCTTTCTTCATCCTTGCCCAGTGCCTAGTTTTTTATTCCATTTACCATTAATCTGTTGTTCATCCAGGTTGGCATTTTTGGATTTAGCATCAGTTGCTCATTAACGTTCACACCTGTGACATTCTACAACTGCTACTGTATTACCACCTCACTCAATCCATTCCTATATTCTCTTGAGTCTTATTTGAAAATCTTACACTTTAATCTCTTTCTTTACATTTTTATTACTTTAAAGATGATCTACTGCTGTAGTATTATATTGGTTTTTCTGCATTGATTCTCTTGTCTCATTAATCCTAGACCTGTTGGCACAAATCTAAGATGCCTCTCAGCCATGTAACTTTATTACTTTATATTGGTGGGTTTTTCTTAATTACTGCATTACCCCAATTAGTAATAATAGTGAAGATGAAATGTGCATTAATTCATATGAAAGAAGGTAACTTTATAAATTTTCAGATGTTACAGCAAAGTAAAATTGGTTTACAGAGAGCTTTTACATGATCTCAATAAAGTAAGTGACATACCATCTCATTGCATAGATGAGAAAGTTTGCCCAGAAGGGAACAGAACTATATTAATTCATGTCTTTGGCATCAATTAGGTTTTACAAACCTTAAAAGGAAAGTATATATTTATTGGATATTTTTAGCCCCCCCACATTCATATCTACTTTTCCTGATTTTTCAAAGTCTATTACAGTCTAATTACATCCTTTCTTGAGATTTAACTCTAGTTATTTCCCTTCCTAAAATCCTAAATTCCTAAGTGTACTCTCGATGGTTTAGGTGGAAGAGACAGTATCTCACAAATGTGTTTTGTAACTTTTCTGTCTCTGATATGTCAGTTCTATTGTTTTCACTTTGAATGTTCTTTTCCCTTTTCTCTACTTCTCAAATTCCTACCCCTTCTTCAAGATTTAGCTTTAAATCTTTTCCATAAAACCTTTCTTAGACGTTTAGGAACAAATATGTTGCTTTATTTCTACTCAGCTTTTGTTGTATTTGTTGTTTCATTTAAACTGCTTTTCATCTTTTATATAATCTTTTTTGTCTTTCTTATTTTCCAACTAGATTGTAAATCTTTTATGCAGTAAAGCTATTTAATTGCACTTCATTTTGTTCTCTGCAGAGCTCTCATAATGCTTTCTTTATGGATAATTCTAAAGGAATATGTTGACCAATCAAATGACTTTTTTGTTTCAGGATAATTGGCAATTAAATCTCATAATTTAAGATTTCTATAAGTATGATTCATTAAGATATACTGATTATAAACATTCCTCAGCTTTGGTTTGAATATATTTTCTAATTTATCCATTTAAATAACAGGTTAGGTACATAAAGATTACTAGAAATAACATTTTAAGTTTAATACAACATACTTTGCTAAAGTAAAATTACTTTATAAAAGTTATATATATTTTTATAAACTATAGTATATTGCTTTAAAGCTTTTTTAAGATAAAAATCACTTGTGTTTTATAAATTATGTTTTGTATTTTGAAATTGCTTGAAGTAGAGAACTACATGTAATTGTAATGTATGATGGTAAAGCATATACTCTGATAATAGGTTGAGACTAATTGTTAACAAATGCAAAATTTCTCAAGTTATTCTATCTCTAAAGATGGAAATACACCACTTACTAATCAAATGTAAGATTGTTCTGTTAGATATATTAGTGATCATTAAACCTTATGGTTTAGATTTTCTCTTTTAACACAGTAATTTCTTTTTCTTTTAAACAGGTTGAATCAAGGGATTCTTTGAATAGTATAGCCCTGAAATTTGATACAACGCCCAACGAACTTGTTCAATTAAATAAATTATTCTCCCGAGCAGTCGTTACTGGACAGGTATCATTTTCTAAATGCATTGATGGTTAGAAGCATTCAGTTGTTAAGACAGAGTGTCCATTGCAATATAGTTAATTTAAGAAGAATAATTTTGTGCTTACTTTGAACAAATCATATTGGTTCTAGAAGAGAAGATTAAATGTCACTTACATCCATGTGAATTTTTAATACATTGAAAAGAACTAAATTGTCTTTTCAAATATAGTTTTAAAGAGCTTTTAGAAATAGTCAAAGCAGTACATGTATATGATAAAAAATTCAAAACTTCTTTAAGGGTAGTTTATCTCAGACTTAAAGTTTTCCTTTTTCCGAAGCAGCCACAGTTACCAGTTTGTATACCCTTCCAAAAATACTCTAGCCCTTCTTTCTTCTTTTTTTTAAAAAAATAATTTTGATCTGGGAAAATGTTCTATTTATGCACAACTCAGTCTCAGACTTTATCATGTATCTAGAATGTTGCGCACTGTACCAGTATACAGGTATGCATTGGAAATATTGTGGATTTGGTTCCAAACCACTGCAGTAAAGCAAATATCATGGTAAAGCAGGTCATAGAATTTTTTGGTTTCCTAGTATGTATGAAAGTTATGTTTACACTGCACTGTAGTCTATTAAGTGTGTAATAGCATTATGTATAAAAAAGTATATACCTTAATTTAAACCTTAATTTGAAAGAACTTTATTGCTAAAAAATGCTAACCATCATCTGAACCTTCAGAGAGTCATAATTTTTTTTGCAGTAGTCACTGATCTCATATCAACATGACAAACATAATAGTAGTAAAATGTTTGAAATACTGCAAGGATTACCTAATTGTAACCCACAGACAGAAAATGAACAAATGCTGTTGGAAAATGGCACTGATAGACTTGCTTGACTCCGGATTGCCCCAGACTTTCACTTTGTAAATATGTAGTATGTGTGGAGCTCAGTAAAGTGATGCACAATAAAACAAGGTGTGCTCATATTACAATTTAACTAAGCACAGTAAACTTTAGATTTTCTGCTTTTTTTGCTGTTGTAAACATTGCTGTAAGGAACACTCTTGTTTGTATCTTTTTCTTTATATTCAGGTATATCTATAAAGTGAAGTCCTAGATGTAAAATGACTCAGTTAAAGAATGTGTGCGTTTTAAACTTTGCTAGCTGTTCCCAAATTGTCCTTTAAGAGGAACACCCATTATTTATAAGGATCATTGTTTCCCTTCACTGTCGCCCACAGTCTGTGTTATCAAATCTATCTAAATTAAATTTGAATCTTTTTAAACTTTGTTAAAGATTATTTCAGTAATAAGCATACTTTTAATCTGAGGGTTTTAATTTTTAAAATTTATTTCTGAAGGATATTGTTAATGGTGTTTTCTTAGAGAACACCATCTGGTTATTAATATTTTAGTTTGACTGAGTCTTTATGTGAATGCTTTCTTTCAGGTTTTATATGTTCCTGATCCTGAGTATGTCTCCAGTGTTGAGAGCTCTCCATCTCTAAGCCCCATAAGTCCTCTGTCACCAACATCATCCGAGGCAGAATTTGAGAAGACCACTGTAAGTTTCCCTTCTTTACAAAGCTATCAAGAAATGGCACTGTATATATATCATCACTATTTAATCTTAGTTTGACTATGGCTAGAATAAAATTTTACCTCATTTTGTTAATTAAATTTGTAAGTCCCAATTTTTAAAGTGAAACATTCTTATTAAATCAGACCACTTAAATTAACTTACTGTTAGTGGTGGTAGTAATCCAAAGATATTCTTCAGCCCTCTTATAAATATCATATAATAATTTAAATGATAGTATAAATATTTAATAAGTTAATCATATAATATCATGTTGGCTATCTTATAAAAATGACAGCACTGTACCTTTGTGACCCCATGGACTGTAGCCCACCAGACTGCTCTGTCCATGGAATTCTCCAGGTAAGAATACTGGAGTGGGTAGCCATTCCCTTCTCCAGGGCATCTTCCTGACCCAGGGATCAAGCCCAGGTCTCCTGCATTGCAGGCAGATTCTTTACTGTGTGATCCATCAGGGAAGCCCATGAAAGGAATATATTACATTTATTCTCATCATCGATGAAAATGGAAGTGAGGTTCTAATGATAGGTATTACTGGACCAAACGATGCAGGAATACCTTTTTGAACATGGCCATACCATTTTCTCATGGGCCTTAACAAAGAGATGCATTCATAAGGGGCAATGACAAAGGAGAGTAGTGTAACCTTAGGTTAGGTTAATTTAGCTTGTGTTCTGTACTCTAAAGCAGAGTTGTGAAAAGCTTCATTGTAGCATTTTGCCTGACTAGAAACCTGTGGGGTCCTTTTCTTGTCCTTTACTTTAACCCAAATCTACCTACTAAGTGGCTTTATTGAAAGGCGTATGATCAAAGATAAGAGAGTGCTGAAGCTCAACAAGAGAGCAATAAAACCTACATGAAAATGCTGTCTTTTTCACTTTGCCATGTTGGTAAAAGAGAGGGAAAGAGCAATAAAGCCATGAAACGTTTTTAACCTTTAGTGTCTGAGCTTCTGTCAAAGGTGGCCCCAAAGTGTCCTCTAATATGACCAGTCATACGAATAAATTCTTTCTCCCTGAGATGAATCCAGGAAAACGGTAAGAAACATGAGTTCTTAAAGTTCTGTTTACCCAAGTGATAGTCATCACCTACTGTCTGATTGTGGGCAACCGTCAGAAATAATTCTTTTGAACAGCAATTTTATAAACTTTAGTTATATCTTTAAAGCTAGAAATATATTCATTACTAGCCTCTAAGATAATATTCCCATGTGACTTTTTATACACAATATCTCAAGTGCTTCTGTCTCTATATTGTAATTATTGAATGTGTATTTCCCACACTCTGTGTGTAAGTTCCTTAGAAGCAAGGATTTTATGATCTTATGTTTTATTTGATGTAATTCATCTGTATTATATTAATTCAAATATTGTTTATTAGTTTTTTAATATGTTTTCCCATAAATTGTCAAAAATTTATATTTCTAATATGCACTTATTGGTTTCCTAAATGTTCAGCTTTTTAACAGCTTATTTATAAGGCTAAAATGTTATTACCATAAAGGATCTCTGGTTTTTAAAATATTTTTATATAAAATATAATCTTTGGGAATTATCAAACAGTCCCCCTCATGTTTTCATATATTGATGAAGAAATGTGGAAGAAGATAGAATGAAAGCGAGAGTAAACATATGATAAAGAGCTGGAATTTACTATGTGTCAGGTAAAATTCTAAACAATTTACAAGAATCACCATCTAAGCCTAACCTCAAACTTAGGAGATAAGCGCCTGGCCTAGCTGTCTTTGTTTTTCCCTCTAGACCCATTCTACATCCTTCTTCATCCTTTTAGGTGGTAGCCTGCATCATGGATGGGCCACCTTGACCTTTCATTTCTGTTGGTCTTCTGAGAATATTAACAGAAGATAAGAGGAACAGAGAAGGAGCATATTTAGTCAGCTGTCTTCCTACAGGGTCACTCCAGAGTGGCTGCATTCTTCAGCAGCTAATTTCTTGTCACATGATCATTTCCACAGAGCCCTCCCTGTCTGTCTCTCTCCCTTACTTCTTTGGGCCTATGGGTGATATTGAAGCCTCTGTTGTTTGCCCTAAATTTTCGTATACACTACATACCTTTGTAAATAGTTTCATTATTATACTCTCCTAAAATCATTCAAATTGGTGTGCCATCTGTTTCTTCCAGTACATTAACAGTACAGCACTTATTTACAGGTGAGGAAACTGAGGGAGAAGGGTTAAGTACTCTGTGTCTGTCGCTCAGTTTGCTAGTATCTGAATCAGGATTCCAAGGCAGGTTAGTCCAGAGTCTCTGTTTTTTGAATTTCCACGTTATAGCTGGAAATTGGTAACTCAGAAACTATTGTTGCTCAGTAAATATTTGGACCCAGCTCCTAAAGATAGGTAATATTTAATCATTGTGAATGTAGTGAGGCCTATCACTTTTGTACTGTGAACATTTCTTAAAAAATTTTTTTTAATCTGTCATTCTTTTATAAATATAGAAATGTTTTCTGTTTACCTCCTTTGATTTCTGTGCATCTTAAAATTTATTTATTATGCTAATGCCATTTTAGGCGAGAGCTACTAGTGTGATATACTCAGTATAGAATTCAGAGGAAAAATGTTTAACATAAGTAATATGGAAAAGTGACATGATTTTAAATAGCTTTTAATTTCTGCTTTATGTTAATATATTCCACTGAAGGATGGGACAGTAGATAACTGTATTCTCCTTAATATAAAACACTCTTTAGTGTACTCTAAGTGAAAAATAAGAAAAGAAGAGTACTTCTAATATGTTAAGGCATATAATTTTCAAATTATATTTCATGGTGGTAAGAAAATACAATTTTGAAAAAATACTTCCGAGAGATTCTATGGGAGGCCTACAGGGTCTTACAGGAGAAAATATATAAAATATTAATAAAGTTTAGACACACTAAAAGCTTCTTTTTAAGCATAAACAATTATATTGCTGCAGTTACTGTTAATATTTTGAAATTACTTACTATGCATTTATTACTGAGGAAGCTATGGCATAGAGAGAATGAGTAATTTATATACGTCACATACTTAATGAGTGGTAAAGCTGAGATTTAAACCCTGACAGTGTGCATTCAGATTTTGGGTTATATTCTTAACCACTTTTTGAACTAATTGATTAAAGCTTAAGGATTAGCAATACGCATTGTCTGAGATTGAAACATACAATCTTAAAATTAAAATATATGTGTCACAAGTTGTAGAAACTAGAAAGTTCGTAGTAAAGGGCTGTGTGGAAGTAATATAGCAAATTGTTGCTTAACAAAGCAAAAATAAAAGTAAAGCAGATGATTCAGAAGTATTGCTTAGAATGATTAAAAGGTGAACAAAAGTATTGCTTTGTTTCTTCTTTACTTCCAATATAAGATTCTCTGGACTGTTTAATATGTTGCTCTTCTGTTTTTATATCTGAAAAAATTATTTGCCTGTATTAGTTTCCTAAAATTGCTGTAACAAAGGATCACAAAATGGGTGGTTTAAATCAGAAATTTACCTCACAGTTCTAGAGACTAGACATCTGGAATCAAGATGTTGGCAGGGGTATGATATCTCCTTACGAGGGAGGAACCTTCCTTGCCTCCTCTAGCACCCACAGTCCTTGTCCTCCTTTGTCTTGTTAGGTCACTGCAGTTTCTGCCTTTGTAGTCACACGGCTGTCTTCTCCCTGTGTGTGCGCCTGCACGTAGTGGTCTCCTCTCCAGATACAGAAACCAGTTAAGTTGGGTTAAGAGTCCTCTCTCCTCCTCCTGTGTGACTTCAGCTTAACTTCGTCTGTGAAACCCTGATTTCAAAATAAGGTCACATTCTGAGGAAGAGGGTTAGGACCAGCATATCTTCTTGGGCGATACAGTGAACCCATAACTTTGCCATTTAAAGAGAATCACATAGTTTAGTCAGGAAGCTGTAGAAGATTTTCTAACTCTAGTCAAATAACATTTTTTTTAATAAAAGACATTCAGTGGCTGTTTTCTTCACGTATAGATGAGAAGATATATTAAAGAGTGATGTTAATTTCTTACAGAGTTTTGGGGATCTTGAGAATATGTGTGATGTTTAATAAAATAAACTTCCCTCTATTTTAATCATACTAAACACATAATTCATTGACATATTGAACTTATATACCTGAAAACAGATGTTAAAGTCATAGCACCCATGCGGGCAGGAAGTTAAAAAAATTTTAGTTAGAAATATCAATGTGGGTTGAAGATATTAAATACAACATATGCTTCAAAAATTGTTCTCATATATGCCATCCTTAAACTAGTCACATTCCTCTCCCCTCTTTCCCTTCCTCTTTACTCCCTGCTTCCTCTCTCTGTCTTTGTTTATACTATTATATATTTAAACCAAGAATAAACTTAAAATCCCTAAAATATATATATGTGAAGTATATTTTACCTATTATATATAATATATATATAAATTATTTTAACTTGCATGCTTTTAAATCTAAATTTTCATATGTAAATATGTAACATATACTTTGTTGTATAATAAACATAAGCTTATGTTACATATTATGTTAAAGTTAAATAACTATAAATGCCAAATGTATAAATAACACATGAATTGTATATTATCAACATACTGTATAATATAATTTAGCTTTGGTGCTTTTAAATGTAATTTAAAAACCAGGAGTTTATTAGGGAGTTACAATTTTTAATATGTGCTTTTTAAATGATGATCTTCTAATTATAACTTAGTCTTATATTCTTAGAACAAAATTGAAATATGTGAAAACATAGAACTTCATAGTAGGACTTAGTATTTATGTAGATTTTAGGAAAGCAGTTATTTATATAGAAGAAATCTCTATATTTGTAACATCACAAATAAACAGTTAAAATTACTGAGTAAGAGTTTTCTTCTAGATTCTGAATGGGAGCATTGTTTTCATAATTAAAATTTAAAAACTGATTCTTCTTTGCTTTTTAACCTCTTTGCTAAAAAGTTCAAAGCCAGACCCAAAACCCCAAGTACAGCACATAAAATTGCATTTCAGTTTTTCTTCACTCTAATATTTTTATGTTTTATTTTGTATGTTGGTTTTAAGAGCCTCAAATTCTTAAGAAGTGGAGTTTAAATTCTGTGAGTGATAGTTAAACATAATAATTTATATGAAATAAATGGTACTCATCATATTTATTGGTTAAGAAATGTACATTGCTTTAAAAATAACGTTTTCTTTTAGATTATGTTATTTATGTGTGTGAAATGTTGAGGTCTCTGTGCCTCGTATGGCTTTCCCTCCTCACGTTGTATCACGCCTTGCCCCGTGCGCTACCAGAGGACGTCTCTGGGCATCTTCAGTCACTGAGGAGCCAAGCCTCGGTAAAGCCGGGGCAGCGTGGGAAGAGGAGCGCTTGTCCTTGCTAGTTAGCTATGATGGTGATTTATGCTGATAGTCTACAAATTACAGGATGCTTAATCGTACTGTATGGAAAAAAGATGGCCTTTTTGAGTCACTTGTCATAAAATTGCTTTGCTTTTGCACGTTTGAACAATTGAAGTGATTATTGAGGCTTGATAGTTTTTAATTCTATATTTTTAAGAATCTTTCTATCCCTAGTGGCTAAAGCAAAATTGCACAAAGAAGCTTCAGAAAGCACTCAAGCCTCAAAATCACCTTATTAAGAAACAGAATTTGTAAATTCACAGAAATACAGAGATGCTAATGCTTGGCATCAGTATGTATGTTAAAATGAAGTCTGATTATGATTCCTCCAAACAATTTTGATTTCTTTTAAATAAATACTCTTTTGTGCTGTACTTGAAGCATTTGTTAAACTAATCTGTTATTTTTAATAGGATTACATTGACAAATCGGGATTGCTAATGATACTGAGTTGTATAATAGAATTTGAGACTGTGATGGAACAGCAGCAAACTGTTGTTCTGGTGAGGTCTATTTTTAAGGGAAATATTAGACAATGTAACCAGGTACACACAGTTTTTGTGAATAATACGGTTATATAGTAGATGATGATGTCACCTGATTTGAGAGTAAGTGAACAACATCACAAACTTTATTTGTAGTTTTGTGCCAACTTGCAGGGGACTTTCTGATGTCTTTGTATTAACTTTTTCTCCCTGTGCACATAGTCATTTAGAATATTTAAAATGGAAAGTACATAGTACTTTAATTAAGCTCACTAGTTGATTTGTTGACAACATGGGTTTTCATCTCAGCTTCATCTTACTCATTGGGCAAGTTACTGAATTTGGCCAAGCATAAGTTTGCTCAAAAATTAAGGTAATGGAAAAAATAAATTAAAAAAAGTAAATTAAGGCAATAGTATGTGCCTTATGGTTTTTATAACACTTAAATATAAAGGTTCCAATTAATATTGTCATTAATGTCCCTTATTTAATTATCTGTGCTAAATGAATTTATATATGATACAAAACTCTTAGATACAGTACTGCCAGAGACAACAGGATGAATGTGAAGTTAATAATTTGCATCATAAAATGAAAAGATTGATAATAATGGTTTACAGTGTCATGCAGCATTAAAATAAAATTTCATTTTATATTTTTAAAAAAATAGCTATAGTATATTAAATGTAGCTGTTTTACAGTGTTCTTATATCTGTTGAATATCTACTCAAGTGCTTGGGATTCAACCCTCCATTTTAGGAAGGGCATATGAAATTTAGAAAGGAAGTCTAAATATTCTTTCCTCATATAGGCTTAAAAAATTAGATCTACTTATTAGAGTAGGAAAAGTTATGTTAAAATTTGGTAGTTCTTTTCAAGTATATAAGAGTCTGTGAGATTGACGAAGAAGCAGTCTTGTTTATTATTTCTAAAGGACAAGTCATAACTATTAGGTATTACAGTGTGGCAGGTTTTAGTTCAAAACTCTGAAGAACTTTGCTATTATAATGAAACTATTTTATAAGGTATTGTGAATTTACTCATAAGACATGAAATGCTTTTGTTAGAGGTATTTTAAACAGAAATTAAAAGGCACATGGTTAATCATCTTACTTTTGTACATAATACTGATCTTTGGGAGAACTATGAGTTCTGCGAACTTGGATATAAAAAATTTTAAGTGAAATCTAACATTTTTAAGGATTAAGAATATAAACAGTAAACTACAGAAAAGCACCAGACATACCTGTGACTTTGTCCCCAGCGGAACTCACATATTTTCAAATCAATTTAGTATTGTTGTAGATATCACAGAATGTTGTCTATGGCCATGTACTTCAAAATTATCATTGTAAGAGTCATCTCTAGATCTTGCTATTTAATGTATTAATAAAGAAACATATATACCTATATATCCAATTAAAAGTGTTTTGATAATTGTGTTTCAGTATAATTGTTTTTCTTTGTAATCCTCTATTTTAAGTATTCACAAAAAAAAAATCCATTCTGTAAAGGAGGTCTATAGGCTTCACTGTGGGAATGCTTCATGGCATCAAAAAAGTTAAGAACCTTTGATCTAACTAATTAATACCTTGTGAAATGTTACTGATAAAATTTCAAGCTATAATGAGTTTAAAAAGTTCCTCAGTGAATGGATTCTGCTGAATTCCTAGATTTCACAGACAAGCACTCTTTTCTCTGCTCCCAACATGTGAGGGAGTTATTAAATGGTCAGGACCAGTCATTCGATTCAGGAGCAACTGAATGTGTATGTGTCTATTGTGTGTATCTTTAGGGTGGCGATATAAGAGATACCGTTTTCAACATTCTCAAGATGACTTATATGTGTGTGTGTGTGTGTGTATGTATATGTAAAAAATATCATTATATGAATATATTCTTATCAAAGAAGTAATTGAAAATATGTTTAGGCTGTGCTGGAGATCTTTTCCAAATGTAAAAAAAGTTGACTTTTTTCCCTTTTTTAAAATAATAAAAACATTTTGAGCTGATCTCCAGAATATGATGAGAAGGGAAAAGTACTTATTGGGGAAAGCTATTCATTTGGCTTTAATAATGTGCTTAGTTTTATTTAGTTCACTGAAATGCCTTTATCTTTTTTTTTTTAAAGACTCCTGATGTAGTCCACCCAAAAGAAGCAACTCCCTCATCTGCTTTTACTGCTATTCGACCTGCACGAGTTGTGTCTTCAACTTCTGAGGAGGAAGAAGCATTCACTGAGAAATTTCTTAAAATTAATTGCAGATATATTACCAGTGGCAAGGTAGGGATTATCACTTTAGAAAAACTTGTAATCCTTTTTTATTTATTACCAAAATATGACAGTTTGCATTTATATTTTTAGTATCAGCACATGGTGATCATTTTAAAATAATCTTGTGAGATAGGCAGTTCTTTTCCTTCACCATTGGAGAAGGAAATGACAACCCACTCCAGTATTCTTGCCTGGGAAACCCATAGACAGAGAAGCCTGGTGGGCTAGAGTCGATGGGGTTGCAAAAGAGTCGGACATGACTTAGTGACTAAATATTCCTTCATCATGGGGAAAAAAGAAACTTTTTAAGAAAAGGTGAGCAAGTGCAGGGTTTCTCTATCCTGGCCAGAATTCAAATCCAGTTTGAATCTGTGTTTTATCTACCACAATTGATTTTCTAAGGCAGAGAACTTCTAGTCTTCAAAGGAAATTAGAGTAAAAGTACCACAGTGTTCAGAAGAAATCCACATATACTGACTTAAGAAGTCACACATGAAAACCATTTCTTTATAGTTGTAATTCATCAATTATGAGTATCTGAGATAGGTGTTTAGTGCTATAAATTTCCCCCGTGTACTGTTTTAACTGCATCCACAGTTCTGTTTTGTTGTATTTTTATTCATTACTTTCTCTTTATTTCTTCTTTGGCCCATGGAATACTTAGAAGTTTCTTGGTTTAGTTTCTTTGTTAGTTGGAGTTTTTCAAGATACCTTTCTGTTACTGATTTCTAATGTTTTTCCATGTGGTTGGAGAACATATAATGACTATTTGAAAACGTAATGTTTTATGGTACAGTGTGGTAAATCTTGATACGTGTTACATGTGAACTTGAAAAGAATATGTATTCAACTGTTGTTGAAAGAAATAGTCTATAAATATCAATTATGTCAAGTTGAGTGTTATTTTTCTGTATCCCTACTGATTTTCTTTTTGTTCTCTTAATTATTGACAGAAGGACGTTGAAATACCTCTATAATTGTGGATTTGTCTATTCCCTCCCCGCCCCCCCCCCCCATCTATCAGTTTTTATTTTGTTATTTTGAAATGCTGTGCTTTGGTACAAAAATGTTTGGGATTCTTAAATTGTCTAGATGAATTGATTCATTTAATTATGAAAAACTGTTTATTCTTGGTAATACTCTTTGCTGTGAAATCTGCTTTGATGGTTATGGATGTAGTCACTTCAGCTTCCTTTTGGTTAGTGTTAACTTGGTTTCTGTCTTATCTTATTCTTAAAGTGGTATTCCATAGTTTACATCAGAATTCACTCTTTGTGTCTTACATTCTGTGGGTTTTCGGAAATGTATAATGACATGTATCCAGCATTGCAGTATTATACAAAGTAGTTGCATTGCCCCCTAAATCCTCTGTGCTCTGTCTGTTCATCCATCCTTTTCTTTGAACCCCTGGAAACTACTTATCTTCTTATTATCTCCGTAGTTTTCAGTTTGTCAGTGTCATACAGTTATTATAGAATCCTAAAGTATGACTGAATAATTTCAGACTTGCTTCTTTCAACATGCATTTAAGAGTCTTCCATGTCTTTCATGGGCTTCCCTGCTGCCTCAGCACTAAAGAATCTGCTTGCCAATTCAGGAGATGCAAATTCAGTCCCTGAGTCGGGAAGATCCACTGGAGAAGGAAATGGCAACCCACTCTAGTATTCTTGCCTGGAAAATCTCATGGACAGAGGAACCTGGCAGGCTACAGTCCATGGGGTCACAAAAAGTAGGGTATGACTTAGTAACTAAACAACAACAACATGTCTTTCATGGCTTGATGACTTGTTTTTGTTGCTGTGACTATACAACAGTTTATCCATTCACCTACTGAAGCACATCTTGGCTGCTTTCAAGTTTAGACACTTAAGGAATATAGTTGCTATAAACATAAGTATGCAGGTTTTGTATATACATATATTTTTACTTCCTTTGATTGAATACTAAGGAGTGTGATTGGTAGATCATGTGGTAAGACTGGATTTAGCTCTGTAAGAAACTACCAGACTGCCTTTCAAAGTGGCTACATTATTTTGTTTCACTGCCAGCAGTCTCTGAGAGTTGCTGTTGCTCCATATGCTCACCAGAATTCCCTGTTGTCGGTGTTTTAGATTTTAGTTATGCTTGTTGGTCTTTAATGGTAATGTAATTTATACCTCCCTAATGATTTGTGATATTGAGCATCTTTTCATTTGCTTATTCTCTGTGCTATACAGTAGGGCTTTGGCTATCTATTTTATTTTTTTAAGTTTTAATTTTTAATCTAACACTTTAAAAGATCAACTAGTACAAAAAGACATATAATGAATAGCAGTAGATCCATGCCCACCCTTCTCAACTTTGTTTCCCCAACCCAGAGGCAGAAACTTTTCCATATGTCTGTTTAGAGGTTGAGTCCATTTTTTCCTAATAATAGGCTTTTCTTAATGTTTCTTAACTTGATGACATGAGGCATTTTCTACTGACTTTCTACTGTCTCATTGGTTTTTCTACCTCCCTCCCGCATATGGTTGTGTCAACTATTTTTAACTCTTCGGTTTGTTACCTTATTCACTAAAAATGTAACCCCTAAATTTGTCTTACTCTTTCAACTAGAGACAGTATCTGAATTTCCTTGTTTAGGAGAAATATTCCATTTCTTCCCCTCTACCTGCCAACTTGTTGCCTGTACTTGTCAAAGTTGGTTAATATTCCCATTCTCTTCTGTGACCATAATTAAGTCTTCCCTGCTTTGCCTAGAGATTTACTCTAAAAATGAAAAGCCATAACTAATACTTCCATTGTAATGATTATCTAAACACTGTTCACTGAATAGCAAAGTTGAACACTATGATTGGATTTTTCCGTGACTGCAGTCTTGATCCACGTGTGCCAGTGTTCAGATTCCCTTTCTCACTTTCCAGGCGATGGTTGAAAAACAGTCACATCTGATGTTGCTTCATGTTTGAAACATGCTCTCCTTGTACAGTTTGAAATGTTTGTTTTTCCCTGTAGCTTCTGTTTGCCCTTGTTTTTTCTTTTGGGATGAGGAAATGTGTGCTTTCCAGATAATGTGATTAGCTTCTAACTTTATCCATCTATTGACTAGAATTGATTCTATTCATTTGAAAGTCTATTCACTTCTTTTTTCTAATTTGGAAGATTTGCTTCCTATTTGGACCATTTTTGTACATTTTATCTTCATTGAAGTCATTAGTAACCTTTCCTTTTTTCCCCACAGGTTGCCCTGTGAGGGGGATGCTCAGTGTCACTTCCCTATGTTTGTGCTGTCTTTTGTTTTATGTATGCAAGAGCTTTGCAGCTATTTCTGAGGATTTTCAGGTTTTTAAATTCTGTTCCTTGAATTAGCTATTTCCTTGAGATTCAGCTTCTCATTATATCTTAGACTTTTTGATTATATGCAGGCTTTCCACAAATAATGATTTCTAGCCACCAATTTACATGAAAATATGGGTCAGAAGCAGGACAGGCCAGTAAATGTGTCTTAGGTGCCTGAGGTGAACTGGTCACTTTGCTCTAGAGGAGGTGAGCTGGATGGTGGAGGTCAGCCATCCTGCTGCCTCCCCCAGCCTCAGTGCCACAAAGTTAGTTGCTCTAAATATGTAGCTACAGGCAGATGTTGAGAATCACTGAAGCCACAACTTAGAAGTAGGGGAAGTTAATACATAGCTGCCAGGCCAGGTCGAAGAAGGTAATCAGCATGCAAGTGAGTCCCTTACTAAAGGGAAGTTACCTAGCCATGGGTCGAGGCCAGGCACGACAGCTGCACCACAAGGCCTGTAGACAGGGCTGCCACAGCCATTGGTCTAGTGTAGCCACCCATTCAGTGCCCAGAGCCCAGCGCTTCCTGCTGGCTCTGTGGCCAAATGGACACAAGGTGGGAATTGGTGGGGGAGGTGGATTGTGTGGCCACAGATATGAGTTGCTCTGCAAGGCAAATACCCTCCTCCTCTAGCTGCCCTCAGGCCACTGTGGTCCGGTTATCTATTTTAAATATAGTAGTGTGTACAGGTCAGTTCGAAACTCCCAGTCTCTCTCACCAGCTAGCCTTACTCCTGATAACCCTGAGTTTGTTCTCTCAATCTGAGTCTGTTACTGTTTTGTAAATAAATTTATTTATATAAATTTTTTTAGATTACACACGTAAACAATACTACATATTTGCTTTACTCTCTCTGATTTACATGACTTTGTATGATAGTCTCCGGGTCCATGCATGTTGTGCGTTTGGCATTATTTCACTGTTTTTAATGATGGAGTAATATTCTATTGTATATATGTGCCACATTCTTTTCATCCATTCCTCTGTAAACAGTACTGCAGTGAACACTGGGATGTGTGTATCTTTTGGAACCATGTTTTTTTTCTGGATATATACCCAGAAGTGGGATTACTGGATAATATAGTAGCTCTATTTTTAGCTTTTTAAGGAACTTCCATACTGTCCTCCAAAGTGGCTATATGAATTTACCTTCCCACCAGTAGTGTAGGAGAGTTCCCTTTTCTTCACACCCTCTCCAGCATTTATTGTTTGTAGATTTTTTTAATTAAAAATTTTTTTTTATTTTAATTACTTATTTTTGGCTATGTTGGGTCTTTCTTGATGCTCATGGACTTTCTCTGGTCGCAGCAAGCAGGGGCTCCTCTAGTTGTGGTACACGGGCTTCTCATTGCAGTAGCTTCTCTTGTTACAGAGCACAGGCTGTAGGCCTGCAGGCTTAGTTGCCCTGCGGCATGTGGAACCTTCCTGGATCAGGGATCAAACTTGTGTCCCCTGCGTTGGCAGGCAGATTCTTAACCATTGAACCACCAGGGAAGTCCTGTAGATTTTTCTGATGATGGTCATTCTGACTGGTGTGAGGAAATATCTTCATGTAGTTTTTTATTTGCATTTCTCTAATAATTAACAGTTTGAGCATCTTTTTTTTCAGGTATCTCTTGGTCATCTCTATGTCTTCTGTGAAGAAATGTCTGTTTAAATCTTCTGCCTATTTTTTGATAGAGTTTTTTTAATTGCTGATCAATTTGATTATGATGTGCCTTGGTGTGGGTCATCATCAGAAAATTATACAGGACTTCCGTGGTGGTCCAGTGGTTAAGAATCTGCCTGCCAATGCAGGAGACACAAGTTTGATCCCTGGTCCAGGAAGATTCCACTTTCTTGTCTTGTCTTGTGAAAATCACTCAGTCGTGTCCAACTCTTTGCAACACCTTGGACTATACAGTCCACGGAATTCTCCAGGCCAGAATACTGGAGTGGATATCCTCTCCTTCCTCTAGAGGATCTTCCCAGCGATCAAACCCAGGTCTCGCCCATTGCAGGCAGATACTTTACCAGCTAAGCCACAAAGGAAACCCAAGAATAGGGGAGTGGGTAGCCTATGCCTTCTCCAGCAGATCTTCTCAACCCAGGAATCGAATGGGGTGGATTGCAGGCGGATTCTCAAGGATCAACTAAACCTGTATGCTGTAGAGCCTGTGCTCTGGAATGAGAGTTTGAAAATGGGATTTAGAAAGAATGTATATGTTAACCCTGTTGACTTAAAAAAATGCACAACATGCACAGCACCTCAGATAGCTCTGAGAAATTGTTCAAATAGGTTGTAGGGAAGCACAGTATATATGTGATTTTGGTAAAGGGGGAATACATGCAATCAAGCAATAATTTTTGGTAGGAAGTTTCCGCTGGTCTCGTGAAGCTTCTGCTAGTCATGGGAAACAGTTGTCACCATGAAGGATTTTAGTGCTTTCCTAGATATGAAGAGATACAAGAATTGGGCTCATAAAATCAGCTCCTGAGTATATCTTATTATCTAAAGACCTGCCCTACCAGTTTTCCCAGAGCACAGGAGTGCCACATTTCTGCTCTCCACCATCAAGGGATGTTGAAGGTCAGCAGCTGCAGCAGTACACGATTTAATCTTTGTAGAGGTAGATGACAAGCACCCATGGCAAACGCCAGTTAGTTGACTGGGCCCCATCATGGTCTTAAATTCAGTCATACTTTGGGAGGCATTTCATGACCATCCATCCCACATAGCTAGCAAGGCTCATTCCTAGGTGAATATTTTGCTGATAGGCCATTCAGTATGCTATTCCTGGACTAAATCTTTATAGTCAGAGATCTCTGGACATCTGTCTTCTAATTATGATCCAGGGAAGTAATCCCTCTTCTTTTATCCTCCCATGTCTAGAATTACACTGTTACAATCATTGATACCATACAGAACTATGTAATTGATCAACTGCTTCACATTGCCTAGTCATCATTGTGTTCATTGGAGGTTCAGTCACACCTTTGGTATTGTAAGAAACAATAATATTGTAAAACCGGCAAAGTACAAATAATATAGCTAGCAATATTATTAAGGTCATAATTAGAATTAAGCCAAGAACTTCTGTTAGGTTTAGCCTAGTGTATTCTCAGGTCATCTGATGTCTGTTCTCTACTAATCTTTATCTTTCAGGGAAATTATATATTGGCACTGTCCATAAAGCTCCCAGTCCAATTTCCTAGTGTTACTAGGCTGGTTATCCTTAGTATAATTTAATTGTTCTCAAGATTAAGTGCTAAGTCACTTCAGTCGTGTCTGACTCTGTGTGACCCTGTTAACTGTAACCCACCAGACTCCTCTGTCCATGGGAAGGGGGGGCCTTAAATCTAAAATGACCACAGCCTGATGTTAACCTCATAAATCCATCCCATAACTGTGGGAGGTTTTCTTCCTTGGCTGAATTTTGCTTGTTGTTCTGATTGAGCTTGAGTATTGAGTAGTTCAGAAGAAAATTCATATTATGACCAGGGTCAGAGCAGGCATTATTAATTGGCCAGATGAGAGGATCCCACCTACTAATACTGAATCACTTTATGCAGAAGTCAAAGAAACATTGTAAATCAACAGTACTTCAGAAATAAATGGATAAGTAGTATGGGATTAAAGAATTTTTGGTACTTGGAGTGATTAATGTTTGTAACTCAGATGTGGAGAGATTATAGTATAAAGCATTTAACTTTTTGGATTTTGGATCTTAGTCCTACCACTTATTAGTTAGCTATGTTGTTGATAATTTATAACAAATTGCCTCAGTTCAGTTCAGTCACTCAGTCGTGTCCAGCTCTTTGCGATCTCATGAATCGCAGCACACCAGGCCTCCCTGTCCATCACCAACTCCGGAGTTTACTCAAACTCATGTCCATCAAGTCGGTGATGCCACCCAATTGCCTAGCCTCTCTCAATTTTAATTTTCTCGCCTCCATTCTCATTTCGGAACTATAATTGTGAAGAGAAAATGAAAAGTATATATATAATTCATGGTACATACAAAGCATTCAGTAAATATTAGCTAATATTAGTGGGATCAACTTCTTACGTACTTCAGTTTGCTCATTTGTAAGATTAGAGGGTTGGATTATTTATGTGTGTATTGCTATTTATATAAATATATTTAAGATGCCATAGCTTTTCATGATTAAATTAAAGTAGATACCATATGCCTTAGAAGTCATAGAAATATAATCTAGCTCATGTTACAGATGAAGAAACAGCCCCAGAGGCTGTGCTTGCCCAAGGCCACATAAGTAGGCTAGCAGAGTCAAGTAAAGTGGAGACTTATTTTTAAAGATGCTTTAAACAGATTGTACTGTTTTCCTTTTATAGTGGATTGGGTTATAGGCACATTATTTATTAAACTTGCATTGTCTGCATGAAACTATTTGATACCTTTGGTGAGGGAACAACACAAGAAGTTGTGTGCAAATTAATGTGAAACAAGGCTCATACCTTTGGAGGACTTTACAGTCCTTCTTACATTACTGCAATTATCTTGCTGATATAACTCAACATTTTACTGAGGCTGCATATTTTAATTCCTGACTTGACTGATGGTGAATATAATATTCTTTGTACTTTGCCCTGCTAGCAAGGAGAATTTACTGGGAAAATTTGGGTATTATTAAAAGCGTTTTCATGAGAATGCCATAGTGCTTGAGTGTACTACTTTTGTATAAGGTAGGTGGCCTAACATGGGAAGAAAATCAGTAAAAATATCTAAAATAATTTTTGAAAATTTAAACTTTGAAGGTTAAACATTATTTTCTTTTTTCATCTTAGGGTACAGTCAGTGGTGTATTGCTAGTTACACCAAATAATATAATGTTTGACCCACATAAAACTGACCCATTGGTTCAAGAGAATGGCTGTGAGGAATATGGCATCATGTGTCCAATGGAAGAGGTGATGTCAGCGGCAATGTACAAAGAAATTTTGGATAGCAAAATAAAGGAATCCTTACCCATGTAAGAGTGATATTTATACTCCTTTGCAATTTTATTTCATCTAGTTAGTTGACCTTGGTCTAATAACTCTTTTAAGTATCTTTTAATAGTTTTCTTCTAAATGCTTTTCATTTTATCAGTAATGAAACCTATATAGTATTGAAAAGATTATTTGTACTGTACTGGAATAGTTAGGAATTGTTTTAAATTAATATTTGCATATTTGGTCAGAGAACCTGATATTTAAAAGTAACCTATAGTATTCTTTTAATTCAATGTTTACCAGCCCTTTTTCTTCAAATACAGAATTCATAATTCTAAATTATTTTTATTAGTAGTTTAAAGGAATATAAGTAATCAAGGATACCTTTCAAATTTTCTTTAGAAAAGCCTGGAGAGTTGGGTGTGGGATTTGTGAAAGGTCATGAGCAAAGACCTGACATTGATAAAACCAGAGCAGCTTTGTCTTTTATTTACTGATTTATATGTTTGCATCTTTCTCTCTCAAGAAAGTGTAAAATATAGGGGAGAGACCCACAGATTGCACAAGTTTAAAGTTAACCTTGGAATGTACTGGTTATGGAATTTGTGTGTTTCAGGTAACAGGTGTGAGGTTACAGGTCAGCACAGCCTGTGAAAGTAATGACAGAGAGAAAAGGGAAGGATAATAAATAAAAGAAGAAAATAAAAGATGGGTATACAAAGAGAGGAATAGAAAAGTACAAAGGAAGAAAATTGAAATAGAAAAGAACTTCCCTATTTCTTCGTAATTTGTCATTCCTTTGTCAACAGTTTAAAAACTGTCTTCACTTTAACTGATATTGAGATTTCTGTCCCTGTAATAACCTACAAAGTTGATAATGATTGTTTTAAAATTAACCTTTGTGAGACAGAACTACTTACAAAAGAGAGAAAGTTATTTTTGTTTCTGAGGCAGGCTACATAAATTGATAGAATACCTAAGGTAGAATAAAATCATTTATTTAAGAATCTCCATTATACCTGCCACCCCAATAGATGACTGTTTTGGCTTGGTAAACTAATCTTATATCATCATCCAGAATCAGTCTGAGCACGTAAAGATTACTGTGGCAGGTGGAGAGGTGAGACAAAGGTGAAGGAGTGAAGGATTAGATTAAAAGAGAATCAAGATTATAGGTATGTCAGTCATGGGTGAGATCATTTTCTCTTGCCCTGATTTTCCACTTGTGTTAAGATACTCTGGGATTTTATTGAGTATTATGTGGTATGGTCCATAGCTATTCTACACAGATGCTGTGGAACTCTTCCTCTTCCTCTTGTTAATCACCTTTTTATCATTTAGAACATCACCTGGAAAGACCATCTGTTTGATCCAAACATTTTTAAAAAATTACTCCAAAAAGACATTTCTTTCAATCCTGCCTTATGAATTGATTAAAAGCAAATATCTGGCAACAGATCAGATAAATGAGTTGTGTGATTTTGCAGAATAATTTTATGTTTGGTAAAAATGAGGTGTATAAGATTTGATTGGTTTTCTACTGTCTTATACTGGGAAGTTGATTTCAAAGGTATTCTTCAGGAACAATAGCAGCATGACTGACATAAAAGAAAAAGTTACAACACTTATCTAAATCTGTGTCCTGTTGGATTTAATTAACTTTTTATCTTATCTAAGGGTCTTCTACAGATAGTTTCTCAAACCTTTTTGCTGCGTTCCAGGACTTTTGTCTGGAAAATCCCATGGATGGAGCAGCATGACATGCTGCTGTGCCTGGGGTTAGAAAGAGCCCGACTTCCCTTTCTTTCAGGACTCTGTGTGTGCAGTTTTAGTCAATCACCAGTAGGTGACACTGCTACGTATTTAATAGCACAGACTAGATGCTGGCATTTCTGAAGGGGAATCAATCAGTGCAAGGAAGGCAGAGATAGGAATTGGAAACTAATTGATAATTTTTAAAAACTAAATTTTACCTATCCTATGCACAGTGAAAATTACGTTTATCATTATAAAAATATCAAATACTAGAATAAGAAGAAAAGAGTTTTACCCAGCTTCACCATCCAGAGGTCACCAATAAATTTTGTGTCAACTTACTTCCCAGTCTTTTCTATTCTCAAACTTGCATAAATATTCTTTTCCCACTAAAAACTCATGTAGTTTCCACTTACTAGTTTTTAGCCATCATTTTAAATTGTTGATTTGTATCTCATGCTATAGTGTTTGCACTGCCTCCTGGCAGAGCTTAAACTACCTAACCTTTGAACATTAGTGCTTGTATATTACAAATGGCATTAACATGGAAATCTAGAAGTAACGATGAATCATTCAGCTAGCTAATATCTAACCTGTTAGCTGAACAAGTTCTCTTAGAATTGTTAAGAGTTGTCACTGGAACCATGAAGAATTCCTCTAAGTACTCTTGCCTTGATTCTTTTCAGGTTGATTTTTAGCTTTGCATTTGAGTCATTTATTTAGTTTAATTTCTTTTTAAATCTATATAAGCACTATGTGTATATACATAGTATCAGTCAATGTGCTTTATTAACACATTTATAATTTTAATCAAACCTTGATTTAAGCCTATTTTTCATATTTCATCAGTGAGTAAATTTTAGTTTAGAATTACAGCTTCACCCAAAAGTTGTGTCCTCAGTTTCTCTCCAGGTAGATCAATTTAGTAAATCTTACATTGATATTTCCCATAGCTTAAGTAGTTGATGCAAAACTTGACTTAATTACTTGTTCTATATGAATCAGTTTTTTTAGTATGCTATTAAGAGATGTATGCTACAGAAAAGCCTTTTTAATGATATTCAGTGTTAAGTTTGTGGAAAATAAAATTCTATAATTTAAAACATAATGACTTTAAATTTTGTTTACTAACAGAGAGATAGATCAGTTATCAGGAAGGGACTTCTGCCATTTAAAGAAAGTGACAAGAAGTAATACTGATGAAATAGACTCAAGAATCCGTGATGCAGGTAATGATAGTGCCAGCACTGCTCCTAGGAGCACTGAGGAGTCTCTTTCTGAAGATGTGTTCACAGAATCAGAACTCTCTCCTATTCGGGAGGAGCTTATTTCTTCAGATGAGCTGCGACACGATAAATCATCTGGTGCGTCATCAGAATCTGTGCAGACCATCACTCAGAGTGGAGTAGAGTGTTTGACCGTCATATCAGAAGCTGCTAGTACTCCCGATCACTTAAAATCTGGTTCTGGACATACTGCCAATGAAGTTGGGACTCTTTCTCTTAAAACTGGTTTAAATCTTGCAATGGCCACTAAGGAAGGAGATCAGGCTACAGATAATCTTCAAAAAATATCAGGTCTTAAAGAACAAAGCACAGGTATAAAAAAAGGTAACCAGGATTTTCCTCTTAATGAGAATTCACTACATCAAGAAGAAGTTGAAAAAGAAAGTATGCCTTGTGGGGAAGCTATAGAATTTAAACAAAAGCAAGTTGTCAACAAAGGAAAACAAGGAAGGGAACAAAATCAGGACTCAGAGACTGAGGTAGAAGAGCTACGGAAGCTCTGGAAATCCCACTCCATGCAACAAACTAAACAGCAAAGGGAGAATATTCAGCAGGTATCACAAAAAGAAATCAAGCATAAAATAGCAACAGCTGATATAGAAGGTAAGTGTTGAGGAATATATTAAGTTAGTTTGTCTTACTGTATATTGTCCCCCTCTTTGCTCACTGACTCAAAAGCTGCTGTATCTTAGGCCACTCTGAAGGATAATCTAGTGGCCCTTGACAGATGTTTCTCTGGTACAAGTACATAGTGTCTGGTTTCTACTGTCTTATCTCACAGTGGATTGTACACATAATGAGCATCTTTTCCACCATATTAAAGCATTCCTGATCCACTGCATTCCGTCTTTAAACAATTTATTTTTTGAAAATGCACACAAGTCTATAATACCTATGATTTCTCCCTTTTTGTATTTTTTTTAAGTTCTTGGTATGTTACGTCATTAGAATACCTTTTAAAACTGTGTAGTTTGTTAGTTGCTCAGTCATGTTTGACCCTTTGCAACCCCATGGACTGTCGCCCACCACACTCCGCTGTCCATGGAATTTTCCAGGTGAGAATACTGGAGTGGGTAGACATTCCCTTCTCCAGGGGAATCTTCCCAACTAGGGGTCAAACCTAGGTCTCCTGCTTTGCAGGCAGATTCTTTACAGTCTGAGCCACCAGGGAAGCCCCTTAAAATTGTATATATAATGTCATAATTGCAATTTGTAATTGCCAAAGTTATATAATCCCTTCATTTTTTAAAAGTGTAATTAGACATAAAAATCTGTTTTGAAATTCTTTCAAGTATCCACAAGTTCTGTCATTGTCTGGTTGTGTTTCTTTAAAAAGCCGTACCAAGGAGACTCCCTGGCTGTCCACTGGTTAAGACTGTGCTTCCAGTGCAGGGGGCCCAAGTTCAGTCCCTGGTCAGGGAACTAAGATCCCAGATGCCATGTGCTATGGCCATAAATGAATTAAAGATTTTTTAAAATTTGAAATAAATAAAAAGCAGAACTAAGATAAATATCATTTTCTCTTTCAATTTTGTATTTTCATACTGTTGTTGACTTTTGAAAATTATAGTAATAGTTTTTATTTCTACTACACAATAATTCTGCTTTGTACATTATGTTAAAAGTGGTATAACTCAAGTATCTTAGCTAACATTTCTCATATTCTGTTGGAGTATTGGTTTCAGATTAATCTAATTAACATATTTCTGTTCTATAATTAAAAATTTAATTGTTAAAATATGCATAAAATAAGATTTGCGAGTTTAACCATTTTTAATATAAAATATAGGAGCTTTAGGCATATTCACATTGTTGTACAACCATCACCACCATCCATTTCCAGAACTTTTTCATCTTCCTGAGCTGAAACTCTCTGCTCATTAAATGATAACTTCCATTCTCCCCTCCTTACAGTTCTTGGCAAGCACCATTCTTCACTTTGTCACTATGAATTGTGTCTGTACCCTAAGTATCTCATAGAAGTGGGATCATGCAATATTTTCCCTTTTGTGTGTGGCTTATATCCATTAGCATAATGCCTTCAAGTTTCATCTATGTTGTAGTGTGTCAAAATTTTCTTTATATATAAAGCTGAATAATATTCCATTGTACACAGCACATTTTCTTTATATGTTCATTTGTTGACAGACATTTAAGTTGTTTCCACTTTTTGGCTGTTGTGAATAATAATGCTGCTATGAACATTAGTGTACAAATAATTTGTTTGATTTCCTTCTTCAGTTTTTTTACTTTGGTTGTATACCAGAACTAGATTTGCTGGATTCTGTGATAATTCTGTGTTTACTTTTTTGATGAACCATTGATCTGTTTTCCACAGTGGCTATACCATTTTATAGTCCCACCAGCAACACACTAGGATTTGATTCAGTTTTTCAAAACTGGGAATTTTCTTTGCATTTAGATATACTGAATTTAGATATACTGAGATATACTGTATATAATTTAGATATACTGAAGACCTAAGGATTATATTCAGTAGATGTTTAGGAATTACATTCTATAAAAGATTGAATTTTTTCATTATTCAGAGTTAATGAATGTTCATTAAAGAACTTTTGACAAATATGTTGCTTTTTAGAAAATTTGTAAAAAATTACCTGGAATTCATCACCTGGAGATGATCATTGTTAATATTGTGGTATTTTTATCTTTGCTGTTTAGTGTTTATGTGTATCTACATACACATTTATATACACACACATATACAATATTGATATAATTTGTATATATCTTTATATATGTATATTTTTCATATAAAATTAGGATTACGTGTAGTATAGTTTCTTTTTTCACTTCATATTTTATGTCATGAACATTTTCCTGTGTCATTATACAGCTGAGCCTTGAACAACCCAAGGGCTAAGGGGTGACACATACTCCTCTCCCACATTCAAAAATTTATGTATAACTTTACAATCTGCCCTCCATATCTGTGGTTCTGCATACATGGGTTCAGCCAACCATGTATCGTAGTATTATAGTATGCATTATTTGAAGAAGATCTACATAGAAGTGGACCTGTGCAGTTCAACCCCGTGTTGTTCAAGGGTCAGCTTGAACCCGTGTAGTTCTTTCATGGTTTTCAGTGGCCCTGTAATTTAGCTATTTCTGTATTTATTAAGCCATTCAGTTGTTATTAACAATTCATATTATTAAGGTTGATGTTGTGACAAATGCTGGCATAGATATCTTTATTTGATATGTTTGTGTTTGGTTGTCTTATATTCTAAACTCTTTGAAAATTATAAAATGTTGCATTCTGGTCGACCCAGTAATATAGTAGACTACTTGTATTTTATTGAGTTTGTCTGGGTGCAGGCTTTGATTGGGTTTTCCTATTACGACACATTACTAAAAGGAGGACGTTTGGTAGACATGTTTAGATGGGTGCTCCTGGATTGCTGCTATCTGGTATGTGCATGTGGAGGGAGGACAAGAAAACTACTTTTAAGTAGCTACTTTTAAGAAACTTGAGATTCTATATAGGGAACTATTCAAAGTTTCTGATCTTTTATCATAAAACTATATAATGTAAATATATAATGGAATATAATTGTGAGAAGAATAGTAACAGTTCTTCTTTTAACCTGATGCAAATGCTGGGGCTCAGATAGATTATGCACCTTGCACAGTGTTACACAGAAAAAAGCCATGACTAGTATCCAGATCTCCTGACTATAGCAAAGTGCCTTTTCTTCCATAGTATGCCTCCTTTGTAAGCTAATTAATGTCTAGTTTCTTGAATTGATCCATATGTCAGACCTTTAGTGTGTCGTATGTCAGCATCTGTGGTTGGAAAGGTTAGAGATAATTCATGCTTAATAAACTAAACGGATGGCTGAATCTAGCATATTGTTTTTGTCACACCTTCATATGTATGTAAAGCTTCAGAAAATTTTTTACTGAATTTTTTGTGTAACAACCATATTACAGTAAAACTTTGAAAATTCTTCAAACTTATTTAGATATTGTTCTAGAAGGGTGATAGAGAGTGTGCAGAATATTGTATATGTATGTGTATGAATAATTACTTTAGTGTGGTTGTTACAAAAATTTAACCAGAATTTCTGGATCTTCCACATTTTTTTCTAATACTCCTAGACATAGTATCAGTTCATAACTTGGGTGTTAGTTTATTAGTCTTGCTATACTTGTCACTTTTGATAGAAAAATATATAAGCTACTTAAGAGAATTCACCTTTCAGTAAAGTAATGTTTTATTCTGTAATTATTTGTCAGAAGTTTGGAGATAAACATTACTTTATCTAAATTGTTTTAAATTATTCAGACATGGTGTATGAGAATTGAATAAACACTCTATCTCAATTCTAGGTTCTGCACTTTTAAAAGAAAAGAGAAGGCATCGATTGCATAAGTTCTTATGTCTCAGAGTCGGAAAACCTATGAGGAAGACATTTGTATCTCAAGCAAGTGCAACAATGCAACAGTATGCACAGAGAGATAAGAAACATGAATATTGGTTTGCTGTGCCACAGGAAAGGTAAAAGAAACAAAATCTGGAAAACATTGAGATTCCTTGAGTTGAAATTATTTTGTATAACAGTTCACACCAGTAGCAAAGTACTGAAATAGTTTATGATTAAAACCTGACATTAAATCTGTTCAGAATCAATTAGCTCCTCTTTAAAAGTGGGGTAACCACTTTTAATTTTAGTCTCCTTTGTGGTTTAATGCAAAAAATATGAACATATACCTCGTGTTACTAGTAAACAGTCATAGTTAAAATGTTTTAGATCAAGAAGGTTCATTAAAGTATTAGCTGGTACAGCCCCACCTCAAGGCAGGAAATGATACAGTTTCTTTCATTTTTAACTTTTTATTTTGTATTTTGTTAACTGGTATAGCCAGTTATCACTGTTGTTATAGTTTCAGGTGAACAGCAAAGGGACTCAGCCGTACAGAAGCATGTCTCCATTCTTCCCCAAACTCCCCTCCCATTCAGGATGCCACATAACATTGAACAGAGTTCCATGTACTATACAGAAGGTCTTTATTGGTTATCCATTTTAAATAAAGCAGTGTGTAAATGTCCATCCCAAACTCCCTAACTATGTATAATTTGATTTTTAAAAATTTCATCAAATCCTATTAGAAATGCTTGCTGTATACCTAGCACTAAATTAGCTACTAAAAGGATCTGGTCTTCAAATTATTTTTCATACTAACTGCACAGTAAAATTTTTCATATTATTATTGAGCAATATTTGTAAAGGATGTCTGTTATCACTGTATTGTAAATACTGACATTTTAAGTTCACTGTATCATAAATAATGACATTCTAAGTTAAAACTTATATTTACTTATTAAATATATCCAGTGGGATTTAGATAATGTAACAATTTTCTCTCTATGGTTAGATTATGCATTTAAACACTACTTGAATGTGCTCTTCTAAAACAGTTAAAATTTGCATCACTACTTTTCTCTTTGAATTTATATTTCAGTTATACTTCCTCATAGAATCTTATTATAAGGTAGTATATTTTTATTCCTTCTTACATTTTTATGCAACAAATTGCATATACTTACACAGTTATCTGGGGCTTCCCAGGTGGTGCTAGTGTTAAAGAACCTGCCTGCCAATGCAGGAGACATGAGACACCAATTCAGTCCCTTGGTCAGGAAGATCCCCTGGAGAAAGGCATGGCAACCCACTCCAGTATTCTTGGCTGGAGAATCCCATGGACAGAGGAACCTGGGCTACAGTCCACAGGTTCACAGAAGAGTCAGACACAACGTAGCGACTAAACTTCACCGCAAGATACTGAATATTTCTGCCTTCTAAAACCATGCTATGCTTTGTTTTCTGTGCAAACATACATGAAAAGTTAGTGCAGAACAAAGGTACACAATGCCTCTGCCCATAAGACATGCAGAATCCAAGAGAAAATTGTCTTTCAACGCCTACATGGTTCCAAATATTAATTAAACCCAGAAGAAAATTTTGTCATTAAAATTATTACTAATGAACAGTTGATCAAAGCAACATGAATTATAATTTATCATACATAGTTATTACACATAAAATGTAAAATACAGGAAATGTCTTAATAAAATAGTTAGGGCAGGGCTTTTCCCCAATTAGTTTATGTATCCATTGATGAATATTGTTCATTGAAATGATAAGACTTAGTGGCTCAGTTCTGCCCACTCCCTTTTTTCTTTTTCTGTATGTACTAAAAAGCTTTGTTCATAAAAAAAGTCTATGAAACTGAGTTTTATTATGTCAGTCAGTTCTTTAAATGTGTTTCTGTTTATATTCTAAAATTAATCATCTTTCATCAAAATTATTTTTAGTAACCATCATTGAATAGCTTCATTCAGTTTTGTGGAAATTAGTGAATTAGAAATCACCTGATATGCAAAAGGACTCATTACCCAGTCTTTAAAATTTTCCCCTGTCTCAATACCAGCTTTGGGCAACCTGGAACTTTTTATACTGGAAGTTTTTTAACTCTAAAGACATGTACCATTGTAAAATTCTGGATGAGTGAGGATGGTACTTCAGTGAAAGCAGAGAAGAAGCAATCTGTAAAATATCTTAACCATGCTGTTCTCAAGAAGATGAGTATGAGTGAAGATTTACCATATGGAAACAAGAGAAAGAGATTGATTCCCTTAGATCTATCTTACATGTCTGTGTACCTCTTGGAAAGGCTTTATATGTTCCTCTGAAGACTTAATTTCAAGAATATAATAATAAAATTCTTTTCTCTCCCCCCTCACCTAAATATACAGTACAATCTGTGCGTTCAACAAAATGTGATTAGAATAATGGTATGATTTGCATAATTCATGAGTACATCAAAGGCAAAGAGCCAGATACGCTGATCTGACAGTGATACCAAGATGATTACGATGAAATATTCAACCCTATTATATCTTTAGTTAAAAACAACATAAGGATTTGTTTTTCTCCTTAGTGTTGGCTTTGTTTTAATTTTTGCATGGAATTTTCCATTTTAATATTGTCCTTGCACCTTCACTAATGTTCATTAAAAATTAGTTTTATTAGAATTCTGAACTTAATTGTATTTAAGATTTTATGAAAAACATTGCTTCATACAGACAAATTATCTGAAAGATGATACTTAACACCTTTTTAAAGCATTAGTTACCACATAACAAATGACACTATTAAAAATTTATTTTATTGAAAACAATGTCCAGGACAGTGATTATTGATTGCTATATGTTAGTAGAGAGTTTTATAATCACTTTTCAGTTATCCATACTAATTAAAGCCAACAAAGCATAGATGTTTGAAATGTGCATCTGACCCCTCAGATAATTTTTATTTCAGGGATTTAGGCTTTAGTAAACAAAATTTAAAGAAGGAACATAAAAGTTAAATATATTAAATTTCTATTAACCTGGGAAAAACCTGTATAGTGGTCAGGTTTCAGAATAGGTAATTAGAATAAGTTGTTTGTTGTATTTTAGATAATTAGATCATTGTGTGATTGAAGTTAAAATGGTGAGTTTGGTTTTCCTTCCCATTATCAAGTTTCTTTCATGAAAAGAAATGTTAGCATGGACAGCATCTGAGCTAGTCAAAACGAGACTGAAGAAAATCCTAATATAGTTAGGAGCTTGACAGAACACAGCCCCAAAAGTTTAAGTTAATGTGTTCCTGGTAGTGGGCTTTGTTTTATTTTTAAATAAAGAATAATATATGTAATATTTTGTATATTTTAAGTCTTCAAGTTTTGTGAAGCTGTTTAACAAAAATAATTTTTAAACTCTTGCTAACAACTCAGAATAGCAGATCTATTATTCATAATCACTCGTTCTTACAGGACAGACCACTTGTATGCCTTCTTCATTCAGTGGAGTCCAGAAACATATGCAGAAGATACTGGTGAATATACCAAAGAACCTGGATTTATAGTAGTAAAAAAGATTGAAGAATCTGAAACAAATGAGGATTCTACTAATGAAGCAGCAGCTAGAGAATGGGAGGTAAGGGGGAAAATGTGAAGCTTTCATTTATCTTTTTTTTTTGGTATGAATTTATAGTTTTAGAGTTGGCAAAGTTCAAGTGATCTTTAAATGAGTAATATTTTAAAGGTTCACTGTCCTTGTATATATGTGTTTATTGAATAAATCTGATTAGTAACTTTGGTTTATTCCTTTTCCTCATTCCCCTTTTGCTTTAAAATGCTAGAGAAGCAACCTGTCAGCAGTAAAATGCCTTTTATTGAGTGAACTTTAGGAATAATTACTGTTACACTAATTTTCATAAAACATTCATTGCAGATCTAATTCACTTTAATGTTATCTCCTGCATGGAGGAGGCATAGTAGTTATTTAACACATTCATGCAAATTAGCACTTCTTATAAGCTCATATCCAAGCATTATCTTGACATCAGTTTAGCAATATGCAAAGGAAATAAGCTGATGCTAATTTAACAAAGTAATGAAAGTTTTATGTGCTGCTCAGATTTACTGAGCTTATATAAATGGTCAGATTAACACTAAACAACTTTTTTTTTAACCCCTCTTAGATCTGTCTTTTAATATTGCATATTACGATTTTACATGCTTTGTCATGTGGGATTGATAGAGTGACATATCTGGTCTTTCTTTTATTATGGTTCCCTGGATTCACCATCTTCATGCGTTAGAAAATACAGAGCAGATGCTAAAATGTGATAATAAACTGAATCAAATTTTGTTATCCATCTGGTGTTGTTTGTGGTTGTTTATGTAATGAATGTGGTGTATATGCACTTAACATGTATAATGATTAAAGGTATACATGGCATGTCTTTTGTTTAAAATGCACACCGGATTTTGTATGTGTCTCAGTCCGTTCTGCCTAGTATATTCAGCATCAGTGTCTACTGTGACTGGGATACAGTGGAGGAAAAGAGTTAACATATCCTGAGCATTTATTTTGAGTTATTTTAATATTTAGATCGATACTGTTAATCTCCCCACCAGCTTTCACAATAGCCATGAACTGGAAACAACATGAACGCCTGTCTGCAGGTTATTGGATTAAAAAAATTTGGAATATTTATAAAATTCCAAATAATGAAGCAACAAAAAGGTTGTGTTGATACAACAATGTGGATGAGTCTCACAGAATAAAAGACATCAGGCCAGACATGAAAGACTATATATTGTATAATTCCATTTACATAAAATTCAAAAGGGCAAAACTAGTCAAAAGTCCACCAGACTACCTGTTTCTGGGAATTTAGGGGTTGTCTAGGCTCTGGAGGGAACTTTATAGAGTACTGGAGGTGGTCTGTATTTTATTCTTGGTGATGATTTACTTGGGTGTTAGCATATGCAAAACAATCCCTGTGTCTTTACAAGTTAGATTTAGAAGACTTTTAAAATAGCCCAGGTGATCAAGGATGTAAATCTATACTAAACCAGTAACAAAGGTAAAGTGGAAAGGGATAAAATGAAGTGTTTTAAAAAGGTATCACCTAGCTAATAAAACAGGATATAGTGACAGATGATGGTGAAGTACTAACTTGGGTGGCAAGGTGGATGGCAGTCTATTCAGTCAAGCCAGAGAATTGACAGTTTTCTCTCTTTTGAGATTGAAACGCTAAATTTTGGAAATAATAGATTTTATACTAATTTTTTTGAGTATTAACTATTTTTATTTAAAAGGAACCATCTTAGTTCTTATGGACAACTCTGCAGATTATAATTTCTAAAGGAAAAGTTTTCTCACCTGTTTGCAACTAGAATTGATTCAAATAAAAAGAAGATGATAAATTGATTAAAAATTAAATTTTATAAACTTTCTGCTGTGTTGTCTGGAAACATTTTGCTGCACTAATAGAGTGCCACTAGTGACATGTGGCTGTGGAATACTTGAAATGTGGCTAATGCCACTAAGAAACTGAATTTTTTATTGTTTAATTTTGATTAAACATAAAAACCAATACTTGATTCAGTACTGGATGACTTTTAGATATGTTTTGAACAACTTAGATATATGAATCTATTTTTTTCAGCTATAAATTTCATAAAATCTCAATATGGTCTCATAAATAAGATTAGGTGTTTCCTGTGAAAATCTGGTATCTGCATTGAGATGTAGTTAAATATGCTAATTCATGTAAATACAATTTCCCCTCGCTGCTTGTAGCTGTTGAGCAAGGAAATATGACTGGTCCAAATAGAGATAATCTGTAAATATAAAATATATGCTGGTTTTTAAAGATTCAGAACTGAAAGAAAAAAATGTAAGGTATCATTAATTCTTACATTGATTATGTTGAAATGATAATGTTTTGGATATATTGGATTAAGTAAATATATTAAAATTGATTTAACGTTTTTTTTAATGTAGCCACTAGAAAATTTATAATTGCATTGCATATGTCTTGCATTGTATTTCTCTTGTATGGTATTGGTCTAGTGCCTGATAGCTACTAAGTACATAAAAAGCTGGTTTGTTTTTTTCTCCATCAAAAGTCTGTTCTTTACCTTAGAGTTCACTCGTGGTGGTGTACATTCTATGGGTTTGAGCAAATGTAAGAGAATGTAGAAAGTATTTTAAATGTTTAGAGGATTTTTTAAAAAGGGAATTTGAGGTGGATGAACCTCTAGCCTGTTATACAGAGTGAAGTAAGTCAGAGAAAAACAAATGTTATATGTTAACGCATACATATAGATTCTAGAAAAATGGTACTGATGAACCTCCTTGCCTACATGCAGGGCAGGAGTAGAGACACAGGTGCAGAGAACGGACTTGTAGATACAGCAAGGGAAGGAAAGGGTGGGACAGATAGAGAGAGTAACGTTACAGACATACATTGTCATGTGCAAGTTAGATAGCTAGTGGGAAGCTGCTTTGTAACACAGGGAGTTCAACCTAGTGGTCTCTGACAAATTGTAGGGGCGGGAGGGAAGTTCAGGAGAGAGGGGATATATGTATACTTAGGGCTGATCCAGTTTTGTATGACAGAAACCAGCCCAACATTGTAAAGCAATTATCCTCTAAATAAAGATAAATTTTAAAAAGGGAATTTGACTAGGGAACATACATAAAATAAGAATAACTCAAAATTTCTACCTAGGTGTAGAGAATAGGTGACTTAGAATTTAAGATGAATTTGTTATGAATTTATATCATGCTGACACAAAATTTGTACATTGGGGAACGTTTGCCTATGATAAACTTACCTTCTCTACTTCTTTCCTGTTCTCCCTTCATAGTCCCCCTTCCCTTCCTCCTGCCTACATAAGTACCATGAGGGCAAGGTTTTATGGATTTCATACACTGCTCTATCTGCTGAACTATGAACAGTGCAGTCATATAATTAACCCTTTGTAAATACAGCATTAGTGAATAAATTTGGACATAGATTAAAATAAATAATATAAGTTGTACTTGTTAACAGTTGGTCTAAAATAAGTTGTTATGTCACTTGTAGTAAATATTTTATCATAAAGCCCTAGACTCTTAGAGTTGAAATTAACTGACAGTTCAGCCTCTCTCATTTTACATTTTACATCATTCTTGAGTCTACTTTAGCATATTTAGTGATAGGGAGCTTATTACCTCAAAGGGCAGTGCTTTTCAGTTTAGGACAGTTCTGTTAGAAAGTTCTTTCTTTTAGTGAGTTTAAAGAAATATACCTTTGTAAGTTTAATACGTTTATCTTTGTTCTTCCTTCCCGTGCACATTAATAACAACAAAATTGTTCTGTGTAATATGATAATGTTATAATTTATTATCAGATATTAATATTTAAATATTCTTTATTATTTTATCTTTTTAAAACCCTCTACCAAGATTATTTTCACTGGTACTTCTGTTTGACTTTAATAACTCTTCTTTGATCCAGCACTGTCTTCATCACTACCCTAAAAGGACCTTAACTGTAGCACCCCAAATTAATAAACTGTGCATCTTTGTTAACAAGAAAAATTTTATAAATTTGAAACAATTTAAGTTCCCAAATGTTCAAATTAAAAGTCAGTTCTACTGAAGATAGAAAGGGCTGGAATTTGAGAATTAGATATGAAAAAAGGAAGCAAGAAAAGAGAGCAGTATTAGAGATTTGTACAGTGAATTCCAGAAAGAGGTGAGGGCCACAGAAACCTACCTTTACTAGCAAAGAGAACAGATAGCTGCATTTTAAGATTATTAGCAGTAAGAACCTTTATAATACATCAGAACTAAGATTTCTGGATACTTAGAGAAAAAATCTGAGAAATACTGCGTGTGTAACTCAAGATGTGTGTTGGATTGATGTTATTTAATATGTACACTTTATTCAAATTTAGTCATTAGTATAAATATAGTTAGCATAAAACATCAGCTTACCTCACCATTGTTTCTTTTTTAACCATACTGTCTTGAGTATCAAGAATAAATTCTTCTGCTGTGGGTAGTTCAGTAGCCCTACATAGCAGCTGAAGAAGAACAATTTCTACAATTGGTAGAGTTTTCTCTGTTTTTTTTCCAGTACTCAGTTCCAGAAATCAGTAAAGTGTGTGTACTGAGGAAAGCGTATTATGTGGGCTTTTGCAATTTTGTGAGAAATATTCCTTTCTCGTGGGGATCGTTTTTATGAATTTTCATTGAAAACACAGTAATGGCATTTCAATAGTGTGAGGAACATCCTGAGGTGAAGGTGGGAAAAGATACCTGTTGACCTCCTACTATTTGCTGATGATTGTGCTTTTATTTGATTGATACATAAATACAGAGATTAACAGTATAGTGAATTTGCATGTACCACTCAGCTCTATCAACTTATCTCATTTATAATCTTTTTCTATAGTTCTTCCCATTTCTTCACATGTGATAAAAATGTTTAAAATACACATGAGTGTATTTTTACAATTTGCTGTTTGAGTCAGCATCCCAGCATGTGGCATATAGTTCTCTGACCAGGGATGGAACCTGGGCCCCCTGCATTGGGAGTGCAGAGTTTTAGCCACTAGACCACCACAGAAATCCAAGAGCCTGTTTAATTT